TATTTATTATAGCTATATTGTGGCCTTTTTGCATGATAAATTCTGCCCTTTCCGGATTTGCTTCTTTGTTCTTTTTGTACCACATTTTTTCATTTGTGGAATACGACATCGTTAACGGAGCTCTAATTTGTCTTCTCATTAAAGCTGATGGGCTTTCTAGTCTTCTAGCGTGTGGTATTGTGCAAGAGCTTAAAAGCAGCCTCGGTAGAAAAACTTCTACTTTTTCTTTTTGCTGAGAGCATGCTTTTAGTCCCGTTTTTACAGTCTGCACCATTCTTTCCGCTAACCCGTTCAACTGAGGGTGATATGGGGGTGTCTTATACGGTTTACATCCTATTTTTTCTAACCATAAATTAAGATCTTCATCACAAAATTCTGGTGCGTTGTCAGATACCAGGGTTTTTGGTATGCCGTTTCTGGAAAATATGACCCTTAGAATCTGTTTTATCGTAGAACTTTTCTTGTCTGGCACCCGGACTATTTCAGGCCAGCCTGAAACAGAGTCTACTAGATTTAATAGGTGTCCCACTCCATTAATATATGCATGATCCATATGCACCCGACTCCATGGCTCTACTTCTCTGGGCCATGAATGTAAAGTAGTCTGTGTAAAGTTTCTTAATTCTTTACATTTTTTTGCACCTTCTTATATATTCTTCGATAGCTCTTGAATATCCCGGCCACCATGCTTCTAATTTTACCCTTTTTTGTGTGACCACTACTCCACAGTGTATATCATCACGTACACTTTTTATTACCAATTTTCTTTGTGTTTCTGGGGGAACTACCAGATCCCCATTACAAATCACTCCATGTTCTGTCGTTAATTTCTGTCTTATTTCTTTGTAGGGTCTTTCCGCCCTAGAACAATTTCCCCATGAGTTTTTTCTTATTCTTGATATTATCCTACTTAGTACTGAATCATGTCTAGTTTCCGCGGCCATTCTATCTAAAGACAAAACATCAGTCTCTACCCAATGTAAGAATGCATCTTCAAATTCTTCTTCTGTTTTATCTTTTGACTCCTTGTAAAATCGCAATCTTGATAGTGCATCTACGTGTGGAATTGAATTTCCTTTGACATATTCTATATCAAAGTCAAATGCCATTAATCTTATTGCCCATCTTAGTATCCTCGATGTCGTGACTTTGGGTAATTCTTTCCATCGGGTTAAATATAAACTCTAATGGTCTATGATCACTTCTTAACAGAAATTTTTTTCCAATTAAAAATTGTCGGGCTCTAGTAGTTGTCCACACAATAGCCAATGCTTCTTTCTCTATATTTGAATAATTAAATTCGGTGTTCGTTAGTCTTCTTGATAAATACATTATCGGATGTCCTTCTTGTGATAATATTCCCGATGTCGAATGTTCGCTTGCATCTTTGGTTAACGTAATGTCCTTTTTTGGATCAAACAGTTTCACTACTGGTTTCTTTGCCATAATTACTTTTAATCTATCAAAAGCTTTTTGTTGTTCCTCTGACCAAATAAATTCAACATTCTTTTTTCTTAAGTTTGCAAACGGTTCAGTCAAGTCCGTATATTTTGGTAAATATCGCCTGTAAAAATTCATCAATCCCAAAAAAGACTCCAGTTCTTTTTTATTTGTAGGTGTAGCTACTTTTAGTATTTTTTCTATCAAGGCTTGGTCTGGTGATATACCTTCTTTTGAAATGGAATAACCTAAAGAAGATATTTTACTACAATTGCTTAGGCATTTTTTTTCATTGTCATTCCAGCATTTCTTAATCTATTCAAGATTATGTCGGTTTTCTTTTTTAATTCATTTTCATTAGTAGCTCCTATGCATATATCGTCTTGGTAACAAATCATATATTTCATATTTTCTAAAACCTGTTCGATGGCCCTTTGAAATATGGCGCTTGCGGTTTTAATTCCATATGGCATCCTTTTCCATCTTAGTAACCCTATTGGTGTATTTATCGTGGTTACTTCTTTGAAGTTATCGTCTATTGGTATTTGGTGGTATGCCGTTTTTAAATCTATTTTTGTAAAAACGGTCATTCCTGCCAGTCCAGTCCAACTTCAACATTCGGTATAGGATATGAATCCGAACAAACTTTGTGATTTACGCCTATTTTGTAATCTCCACAAAATATGTAAATCACCATCTGTCTTCCTCAAAACTACACTGGGTGATGCCACTTGCTACCCCCAGGGGGAACATGTTTAAGAAGGTCTTGTTCTATTAATTTTCGTAGTTTTGTTACTACTAATGGCAACAAATGTACTGGTAATTTTTGTGCCTCATAATAAGAGGGGGAGATATTTTCTTTTAATTTTAAACTCACTTTATAGTTTTTTAACTTTCCGGTTTTTTCTATTTTTATCTCATTAATTAATTTGGTAGAATTTATGTTAAGCACGTCGTTTCCAAGAAGTCCGTTGTTCTTTTTACAACTTGTGACAATTATAGGTATTACTTCAAATTTATCTTCTAACTCCAAGGAACCTTCAAAGTATCCTAAAGTTTTTATGACCGACCCATCAAATTGGCGATGTTGTAAACTGCTCTTTCGTAAAGATGGCTTTCCAATGCGTTCCCAAAAAGTTTTTGGTATCAGCGTTACTTCACTACCAGTATCAATTTGCATATCTAAATTGCAGTTGTTGATTTTAACCTTTAGTATGTCTTTTTTTCATTTTTTCTATATTCTTATTTTTTAATGTGAAGAGTTCCCTATTGGTTTCATTTTCTTCAACTCTTTCAACGTTTTTCTTTTTGAATTTGCATACTGCTTGAAAGTGGTTCTTTTTTAAGCAATTTGTACAGGTTTTTCCAAATGCTGGGCATTTTTCCCTTTTTATTTCGTGTTCACGTCCACAATACGAACATTTTCTTATGTTTTTTAACATGTACGTATCAGCAAATATTTGTTCGCTGGGTTGACTTTTATGATGGTTGTATTTCTGTATTAATTCTTGTTGCTGTATAAAGTCAATGCATATATTTAAAGACATATTTCCTATTTGTAGTTGTTCCATTATTTTATATCGGTGTGATGCATTGCACATACCTTCAATTAACCTTTGAATCAAGTCCTCTTCAATAGTCTGTTCGTCTTGTCCGAGTTTATATCTACTCGCATTTCGTAGACGGAAGTAGATATTTTATAATTGGTTCATCAATTTTTTGTTTCATTGACATGAACTTCATTCTTTCTGCCACTACCAGCTTTTTCTTGAGTCTCATATTTCTCTTTATAATCTGACATTTTTTTCGAAAGTCAGGTCTTCCAAAATTGTGGTATATGCCATGGTGGAGACTTTCATTATCATCCAGCTGTAGCCAAAAATAAATCCGTAATTTCATTTTTGCCTCCCTTCTCCTTGTTGTCTTTCAGCTTTTTACTTCTCACACTGGCAGAAAAACAGCGAATCCATGCATCCACGAAATCTGAATCTTCTAGAGACAAATGGGATCCTATCGGCGACGCCATTGATGTGAAGTCGAAGTTTAGCACTAGTCAGTCACTAAGCTTGTCTTCGGTATTTAACAAACCCCCACGAGGAATGTATGTGGCACAAGGCCGAGTTTAACGTGGGTTTAACCGAGCACGTAGGCTCGGCCAAAAATATACCCTTTGAACCCGCCTAGACAGGTTCAGGGCCTGTCTACCTCCCCAGACAAAACTTTGCCCATCAGCAAAGCTTTGTCTGGGTTCCTCTCTGCCAAAGCAGAGAGTTCAACAGAAGTCAGACACAGAAGACGCTAAGCTTGTCTTCGTCCCATGTTATTCTCAGTGACGAGTTATATAGGCTTTCTCTTGCACTTATGCAAATTAGGCACTACAGAAACTATGGAAGATAGTCCACACAAATCTGACACAGAGTCAGAAGATCCAAATGAAGATGAGTTTGGACCTAGATCACCAATAAAATGAACCAGGTACAGACCTCAAGAAAGAGAGAGATCTCATACTATAGTTAGGAGAAGTCAAAGATCAACAAAGTGCATAAAAAACCTTTTCATTTTCGGGAGATGTAGTGAGACATACAAAATGGACTTACCCTATTTTGCATAAAGTTAAATTACTACAAATAAGTCAGTTTTCAGTTGATATGGGGACAATTATTTCTACATCACAGACTAAAAGACAACACAATATTTTCAAATGAACAAGGAAGATAATTTGTGAATATAAAAAGGGAATTTTTATAAAAAATACATGATTAAATTAGTAAAATTAAAATAATCATTAACTTATTCATAATTAATTTCATGTAATTATATCTTTCAAGATTTTTCCAGAGAAAATATGATAGCTTATTAATAGGTATTAATAAATCACATTTTTCATTTCTTTCTGTCAGTAACTATTTTCCATACTTTTCTTTTTCTCTTCCCTCTTTTTTGTTTTCTTTTCTATTTCTCTAACTTTCATTATTCTGGACATTTTACTACATCTCATTTCTACAGTTATTTTTCTTTTTCTACAAAGATCTTAATTCAGCCTAGTTAAATCATGTGCTTAGCTAGTTTGTAGATTCAGCATGGCCTGTTATTTCATAACTTTGATTGTCTAAGTTTGAAATTAATATACAAAGTAACTTTCTGGCTAAACTTTATTTCTATCAATTATTGAAGTAATGAAAAATTAATGCATGACAAAACAGTTGGTCATATATTTTTTACATATTTTGATACAAATATAAAATTTTGTAAAGATTCATGATTTAACTTTATCTTACAATTTGAAAAGAAAATTTAAAGGAGAAAAGGTTTCATATACATTGCTTGCATATTATATATTATGGTAATGTTTGATATCACAACTAAATACTGATTATTATTTTTATACAAATACTTAATCCAATTTATTTAAATGACAAATCATCTATTTAAAAGTAAAAGCTCTTAAGTAAACTAACTGCAAGTAAAGATAAATACAAAGTGATATATATCTATTCTTGTTCAAGTATGTTTTGAGTTATTTTTATAAGGATTTAGAACTTGTTTGTCCTTATTATCAGGAAGGGGATGATCAAGCAAGTCATCCACAGCCATTGCACCAACAACATGAACAGATGCACCGTAACCAACAACATATTCATCACATTCATATGCCTAATCTCAGCACTCACCAGCCACTGAATCCTCTAGACGAGAACAATAAAAAGAGCCGTGGCACTGATATACACAGGGCAGCCACAAAGATCCAGGCTCAGTTCCGTGGGTTCCGTGCTCGTCAGCAAATGAAAGTAATGAAAGTTAAGGCCAAGGCTGAGAAAGCCCTTCCCTCTGTTGATCCTGAAGATCCTCGAGTGCATGAAGCTGCTACCAAAATTCAAGCTATGATTCGAGGCCGCAAAGCTCGCAAGGAAATCAAAGTTCTGAGGCTACAGAACAAATATGGCCATGGCAGACATCACGGACATGGACAGGCTCACCACACTAAATCTTCAAAGTCTCATAACAAGGACATAAACAGGGTAGGCCAGCATGAACCCTGAGTTATGATACTTTGGCTTTGCTGTTCTCTGCCATAAACTTACCCAAATAGAAAACTTTTCATTGTAGAATTATTTAATATTTATCCCAATTCTGGGGTATATGTCTTCTTTTTTTTTTGTACCTCTTCTGCTTCTAAATTTATTTTATTGTTATTATTTTTTCTTCTATTATGATCTTTTGAGTGGCTTCTATCCCACTGTGAATGAATTTGCTCTCTCTACTTGCTAGAGTAAGAATGAAAAATGTGTGGACTTTACCATTTAAAAAATACTTATTAATTTATATCTTCAATTTGTTTTGGTTTTTAGTAGTTCTAATTTTTGTATAGTCATTTCTCCTCGTTGTTTTGTGTATATTAGTTGCTTTTTCATTGAAGTGATTGAGTAATGTAGATGCTTTGTAGGGAAAGTACAAATACTTACCTACATATACACCTCCAAAAATATGAACTTTTAAAACTTTTAGTTGCTTCCAGGCCATTTTTCCAAGACATTTTTGGCTTTGTTTGCAAGAAGGAGAAATTTGTTTATTTCTACTTGTGCTGCTGTCCTGAATTACTGTTTCTTGTTATTCTTGTAATTGTAACAAACATCATGCAAAATGACTTACTGGTTGTTACTTTGTAATCTAAATAAAAGTTAATGCTTTGAATTTGAAAACATTGCTAATGTACAATTAAAAAAAAATCTTTTAATCCGGTGAAATGAATAAAAAATGTCTTTGTGTTTACTAATAAGTTTTATCATACATACCTGTGATACTAATAAATGGAAACTGTCTGAATTGGTTAGATAACAATTTGGAAATCAATTTAAATTACTAACAAAATAAAGAAATTTAAAATATCTTGTGTTTGGATTACTGTTGTCAATATTAATAAAAAAAAATGAAAAATTATAATCTTTTGAGTTACCACCTATTAATCTTATTTGACTACTTTATCAATATTCAAATAATATCATATTGCAAAAGATTATTTTAATATTTAATATCATATAGTTATAGTATCCTTATGAACCAAAAAAGACATTATCAAAGTTTCAATATACAAGTAGTAAATAATTATAAATGTCTTTTGGTATCATTAAAAGGAGGCATTTTAATAAAATAGTTTTGATAAAATAATCAAAATTATATAACCCTTCTTTTATATTTAAAGTGATGACTGAATAATGTTTTCAAATTACTGCAAAATAAACTCTGTGATATTTTATTATATTTTCCACCATTATTTTAATTTAGTCATTTGAAGTGATAAAATATTTTAAAAGACTAACACTGTCAATAAAATTGTCTTAATATACTATTGTATGAATCTAATATAGACCAATTATTCTTTACTATGTTTTTTTTCTAAGTCATATTACAGGCGGGAATAAGTATTTAAATTATATTATTTTTTTAGATTTGTATGAAGTGGTTACATGAAGGTTTACAGATTTATGGAGTAAAGGAAACCAAGGCTGGTTACTACATGGGGCATGTTGAACAACCTGCTTTAATTTTTTCAACCACTTGATGGCATAATTATTAGCTATAATTATTTAACCAGAATAGTTGCCACCATTTTTCTTTTAAGTTTGTCATATATGCTGTAAGCATGAAAGGATTTGCATGAAAAAAGTGTTTTCACATTGGTAAGTAACTTATTCACTTTGGTAAAGGTATTCCTAGTATATGCTGTCATGTGTCATTCTTAATAGTGCAGATTATATTTGAGATGTTGCAATAAACAGTATATTTATACTACATTTCAAGCTGCTTGTGTCAGAACTTTTTCTTCAAATATTGTGGAGAATTAGGAGGTTAAGTTAAGGCTCCAAGTTCACCATAAAGAATTGCCCTATAGGACAATAAGCCTATTAGATTAAAGTGTTGATTTGTGAATTTGGTGACATAGTAATTTTGACTCCAATTCCTGGGCTGGGTAGTGTGTACTTGGAATCAGTGGAAATGGGTGAGTAATAAATTAACAGTACTAAAAATAAGAACTAGATGAGATATCCCTAGACATGAGTCAGTCTACTCCCATAGTTCAAGTAAAGGGTTCAGTTCAGAATTCCCTGTAGATTAGTAAGATTGATATACCCCTGATGAAGGCCGGAGGGCACAACACTGTGATAACAACAACAAAGATGAAGATAATAGTCCAAATGTAAATAGTGTAGATGATGATAACTCCTCATCCCAAAAATTCAGACAGAAACTGTACCTCTTTTGAAAAAGAACTAGTGGTGAATTAGTGGATTTTATTATTATACCATTGACTAGAATATGGCAGATTTTTTTATTTTGAAAATTCTTTCTATTGATATAAAAGTCATATATTTATTGATGTTGATTAACAACATTATTGATTTTTACATAATATCAGAATTTGCACATTTATGACAAAAAGTTACAAGAAATGTAAGGTTTTCATAGAAAATGAAGTCTTTGGCTTTCATATAGTTATAACTTAAATATTTTCCAATAATTGGTACGCATAATAAATAAATTGTAAGCAAACTTCTTCCCATTCAGGTTAACAGCATTTACATTTAGAAAATGACTTTGTAGGTCACAAAATTAGTGCTAAAATGCAATTGGTATCCAATGAGCTACCACTTTTAGGGAAATTACCCACCATTTTAAAAATTATAGTTGAATTACTTATTTCCATAGAAAGCATACAAATGTTCCTTAGAATTGGTATAGAGATAGTTTGCCATCATTTCAATGTAAATAATGCACATATTTAATAATTTCAGGTCTAAGAATTTGTATCAGCAGGCAAGTGATCCATGTCTGGCACTTACTTTATATATTCTTTATTTAGATGTATCAATCATGGTTCATGGTATAAATTGAAAACCTATGATCTGCATAAGCCTGATGATATAATATTGGATGAAACAAAAGACCCAAATCAGTAGTAATTGAAGCTAACATAATCTTCAGCATGCTTAGGAGATATGTTTAAAAAAGAAATGAGTAGGAAATGACTGTTGACTACATCAAAGCATGTTTTTGCTAATAAACAAAAGAAGGAATTAGAGAAGTACATGCTTACAGCATCAAAAATATATTTTGGCTCATCCTGAAAAGAAATAATGCTACTCACTCTTCATTGTGTAAAAGAGGTTTTGATTGCAACCATTCAGTCATGGGAACAAAATGCATGTTCATGTTTGCTTATTTCATCAAACATCATCCAAATTTATCCATGCATGTGCCTGAGTTCATAATTTCACTCAAGCTACAATTTACAACTCAACCAATTCTGCTAGTGAGAATTTTGTAAAGTGCCTATCTTGTCAAATGTGAGCATTTCAGAAAACATCATGGATTACTTTGTCAAAACTATATTTGATGATTCTGAATTTAACTACTGTCTAGCATAAGAAATCAAATTAACAATTTGCTCTCTGTTGACTAAGATTTGTTACTGATGATATCAATTTCCATTTCAGTAGAAGTGAGGTATCAATACATTAGTGTTATCATTCTTTTTTTTTATTGTTTTTTTTTTATCTTATTACAGTGCATCATTGAATTCTGCTCATATATCTTTTCACTTTCCCAGCAAGATTATTATTATATTCCTAAAATCTCACTTTTTATTCAAATACATTTTTTATTAGTTAATACTACATTCTGGTTTTAAGTTTTATATTCTCAATGATAACAATATATTCATCACATATTACCTACCAGTAAGAAAACTAACTTGCCCTATTAGATTGTATTACCTGCTCCACTGGTGGTGTAAGTTGGTATTTTTTCTTAAAGCCTAAATGATAATATAATAATTCATGTTTCAGATTGAAATGACCTATACAAAGGAAGTTTCTTTTCCATAGTAATTTTTAGCCATATTTTATTGGAATTTATAGCTAATTGAAAAATATTCCAATTAGCTTTGGTCTTCCTATAATCTCCAGTGATTAGTCCTTGTTTGGATTAATTTTTGCATGATTATTTTCACCTGAAAGTATAAATTTGAATTTTGTAGTTCAGATAATCACTGACATTGCCATTATTTTTTGCAGCATTGAGAATAAATTTAGTGTATATTCCTCAGATAAATTCTAGCTATTCACTGTACAAATTAAAGCAGTCTGCTTTCTTTCAGTAAAAATTCATTTCTTTAATAAAATTTCAAATTAATTATCTCTTTATAGTTTCTATGTAAAATTCTGAAGGGTTATGTGGAGAATATTTTCACAACATAGAAGTATTATTAGTTAAATCATTGCTTAGATTAATATAGTTTTGTGACTATTAATTTGTAAGCAAGTTTTTTTTTCTGTTATATCAATTTTTAGCATGGAAAATAAAGCTAAAGTAGAAGACACTAATTTTATAATACAGTGAAAAATCTCCTTTACTTTGGTTGTAAACAAAATGAAGTGATTATTTTCATCAATTCATTAAAAAATTTACTGATTTCAACGTTAAGTTCAAAATTTTAAACCATCTAAAGTTGTTTTAAGTTGCAAAAAAGAAATTGGTATATTTTAATAAAGTGTCTCAATAAATTACTATGGGAAATTTAATAATTTTATTTTTAATAGGAGAACATGCTGACAGAAAATTAACTTTATAATATTATCTTTTAAATTAAGCCTTTTTAGGTCAGAGAAGGATTGAAAGAGATACAAATTAGTATAATAATATATTTATAAAGCCAGTGTCTTTTGCTTTGTAACTGAGCAAGACATGTTATAATTATGTTTTGGTTTCTCTCATATATTGCTTACATAAGACAAAATATGTCTGTATAAAATGATATAATTTATATGTTGCTTATCTCGAATAGGTAAGTACCAAAAACATTAAAAATTATAACAATAATCAAACTTTTTTATAAAAGTTTTATAACATATGCTATAATTTAAATATCTTCTTTTAGGTTTTAAGTATGCTTTTAATTTCAAGAGCCGATGTTAGACTAAATTATCAGTTTTTGTCTCTAAAAGATAACTTTGATTGATGTTTGATAACAGAAAAATTAAAAATTTATAGTTAAAAATTTTCTAAAAATAAAATAATTTTTATAGAAACATGGTAGTTAATAAAAATTAGTTAATTTAATTATTACTTAATTGAATTTTAAAAAAATATGTTTTACCTAAAATATATTGAAAAATACATTTCTTTAATGTGGGTTTATGGTTACCAATCAACTCAATTAAAAGTCATGTATATATTGAGTCAGATTTCCTCACCCAAATGCAATAAAAAGCTTCTTTGATTTTAATTTACAAGCACTACATGGGACAGATGAAATGTCGATTACCAAGAATGACAAATGTTGAGAATATACTTTTGCTATTGCCTCTTACACTAACAATTCAATATTTATTAAACTGTTAATAAGAAAAAAAAAGAAAGTAAGAAAACAACAAATGGAGATAAGTAAAAGGGTTTTTACTTTTTATTTATTGTGATTTACAAGGTTTGATCGTTTGTTTGTCCCAGGGAATTGTATATTAGTTGTGAGTGACTGAGGGTTTGTTCAGAGTATAACACAAGTGAATAGTCAAGATAGACACATGTAAGTAAATCAACATGCATATGTAGTTGAGTGAGATAAACTCATGGGAGAAATATTCCATAAATTATCATGTTGTAGTAGTTGAGATTTAGTTTCTGTTGTTGCTGCTAGTTGCATTGCTGGCCAAAGGTATTGCTGTTGATGGAAGAGCCTTGGTGTCTCTACTGCTGGCCTGGTTAAATTTATCTGCTCTGGGGTCCATTGCTAATGCCAGTTGGGTTGGATCTGCCTTGTGGGGGAAATCAGTGCTGACTTTTGAGTCAGTGACTCAGAAACAGCTACTGTGAAAACCATGTGGGCCTTTTCTGATTGATCAGAAAAGATGGTTTATGACCCTGGTATTTTTGGATGGTATTTCAGAAGTGTGTGCACAGAGCCAGATGAAATCAAGGTCTTGTTTGTTATATGAACTGTGGATATTGAAGCGAACACTTCCGTTTGAGTTAAAGAATTGGAGTTGTGACAGGGTACAATAAAGGTATGAAGGACAAGGCCAAGTAAAAACATTGAATTGTTTAAAATGATTACTCATCCTTGCATTAGTGTTTTCTTCTTGCTTCAGTACTAAGTAAATGAATAATTTTCTACTAAATGTGTTGCTTTCTTGTTATGATTGCCTTGAAAAGGTTTGTAGATTGTATTTCATAAAAATTACTCCAAAACTTTTGGAGAAAATTTGTGATACTTAGGAACCTGTCAACAATAATACAGTAGATTTAGATATCTGCTGCATTAAATAGGAAAGCCAAGATACAGATTGGTTATCATTTTCATTTAAGTCATTTGATGTCTAGCTAATTAAAGTATGATACTGATCCTAGTTAAAAGAAAATAGTAAAGTTGAATATAGCAAAATAACATGTAAAATGAAGAATAAATTGTTTTAAATAAAGTTTAACCACTTTATCTTATTTGATAAAGAGAGAGTCTAATTAATTCTACAATCAATATAACAGGTCTTCAAAGTGAGGCCATCTCAAAGCTGGCTAAAATTGGTTCACACCTAAATTTTATATATGTAAAAAAAATCTAATTTGATTTATTATCTCAATGTGGACATGATTTAAACAACAGGCTAACTACATTTGTATACCTGCTTATGATACATACAATCCAAAGTCAAATAGCTCAATTTGAGGATTCAAGAAAGTGTACTTGTATATTTTACATGTATCAATTATAAAATAGAAATATTTTTAATATGAATAAAAGAAAGAAAAAAGATTTATAGAAATTAGACTCACAAATTCATGGGGCTTACGACCATTTCATGTTGAAATACTGGTTTTTGTATGATCACCAAAGTTAAGCAATGTTGAGCCTGGTTATAACCAAGATAGGTGACTGCTTGGGAATACCAAGTGCTGTAATCTTGGATGTGCAGGTGGTACAACGTATAATGGTTTGCAAATGGAAATCGACAAGCTGAGTCTCAATTTTAGTTGGGTTCATTATATTTACTTACATGTAAAGACCCTTGGGTAAAGTATGAATCCACCTCTTCTCTCCAAGCTATGGGTTAATTAGTAGGACCTGTAAATTATTATTATCTCCAAAAATTCTTACAATCTAAAAATATTTCCTGGCATTTCCTTAAACCTTTGCAGGAAAGGGTTGATAAGCCATAAAAACAAATCAATCACAGATTCATGGATGGCAGAATATTGTCAAGTATAGTATGTAGAAAATATATTGACTTATATCTTTAGTAGTGAAATCTTGGTTTAAAAAATGGTTGCTATCTTTCAAGAGTATTAAAGTAAGTTCCTGGTATTTCATTTCTATCAATTTGTTTCTGTTATGACAAACAATTTATCTGAAATTTTAAATTTTGATTGACTTTCTAAAGGCAGTAGAAATTTGGGATCATTTTTTTATAAATACAATTACTCCAGAAACATTGGAATATAAATAATTAATAATTAAAAGAAGTTATACAATAACTGCCTTTTTCCATGTTTGGTCCACATTATAAGATTATTTATTACAGTTTTTATAGAACATAACAATCTTTTAGATTTAAATAAAATTTATTTATTTATACATTTTGTAAATAGAAGATATCAGATAGATGTGTACTATTATAATTAGAAGTTAATATTTGATATTTTGCTTAGCTAGAACTAGTAGAATATATGTGAATCTTTGGGTTAAAATCATATTTATTTAGAATTGTTTGCTTGAGGTAGGATTGGGAAAGTTTTGCTGGACCAAAGAACCTTTTTATTTGTTTACAATTCATTTTCATAGATTTATTATGTAATGGTTTGGGATTGTTTTCTTTTTATTAACATTTGGATTAGTAACTGTAGAGGATGAATTTACTCTTTAATGAGAACTTTTCTAAAATGTTGGAGATTTTAGATTTTTGCATAATGCTTAAGAAATATTTAAAAACAAACAGACTAAAGATTGAAATTCATCATATGTATGTACGTATACATCTTTGTTCAAGGCACAAGATTGGATGTATTGGATACATTTATCTATTTTGACAGTATACATTCCAGAAATGGTTCCCTCGATCCCAAATTACAATCTGAGGATTGAGAAAGCTAGGAAAGCCATTAGAAAACTTGAGAAATGTGTTTAGTTATAAACTATAGGCATAACCATCAGCACTAAACTCAGTATGTATGAATCGTGTTAATTACTCTTTTGTGTTCCTCTGAGACTTGGACCATGTAATTCATCACATTAAAGTTTTGAAGAGATTCTATCAAAAGTGTCTTAGGAGAATCATGAATCTTTTACACCTGACACTGTTGTTCTTCAGTGGGCCAAAATATTTCCTTTCAAGAAGCTCATAACCAAATTAAATGCGCAGGAAATCTTACTAAAATAGGAGATAACAGATCACCTTAACAGTTATTTTATGCAGAGATTACTGTGTGGTAAACATTTGAAACATCAACCAAAAGTGGTATTGTTAAAAAATATCTTATAACACCTGGTATTGATTCTGTGTGCTAGGAAACATTGACAGAAAATAAATCTGTGTAGAGGAAAATGACAAACAGTGGCTGTTAGGCATTCAAGTAAAAGAGAGTTGATCATAAAATCTTGAAACAGGCTTTTAGAAAGCAGGACATGACCTCACTCCCGGATAATCTTCAGCCTAATGTAACATCTGTGGTAGGATCTTATCCAAAGCATGAATTGCTAGCCATCTAAAATCACATGATGGTAAGCAATCTCATGCACTCTATGTTGGCAACCATCTACAATAACCTACAGAAAATTTATATCAGTTTTCTAACAAAATATATCAGTCAACAACATATCTGAAGAATTACATGAGAGTGCATAAGGACCAGATTAACTGTAAGACCCATACATGATCTTCATCTGCCATATATGCATAAAATCTTGCAGAAATGAAATGAGCTTTTTGAGTCACTTACATGTTCACTACCACTCAACCCAAAATTGAAAAAATGGCATTATTCTCTCAAGAAGTGGCAATCACTATGTATGTATGTATGTATGTATGTATGTATGTATACATGTATGAATTCTTTCTGCATAAATATAATCTATCTATCTATCTATCTATCTATCTTATCTATCTATCTATCTATGTGTGTGAATGTATGTATGTATTTATGTATGTATACATATAACAGTTCCTATGCCTATGTCTGCATTATCATTAATACCTGTAATGATATCAGCAACTGTTGATTCACTGTCATAATTTAAGTTTGTCAGATCCTTGAAGATGCTGTTTCTGCTCAATCTTCAAGCTTCTTAATATCTCTTTCTTCCAGCATCATTCTTTTGTTTCTTTATATCAAGTTCAATTTTATCAAGGTATGCTTGGGGGATAAATCTTGACATCTCACTTCAATAGAAAAAATATTTATTATACAGCTTTCCCACATTCTTTTTGCAAATCCTTACATTCATGAGCTCAGTCAGTATTTTAGTCAGTATGCTGAGTTTAGATGATTACAGTTGAAAGTCAAGACGATGTTCTAAATTTACTGTTATTCTCCAAATTTCATGATTATCAAAGATTGATAATATTTTTTTTTTTAAATCAGTTCACCCCAAGCAAGGTGATAATGTCACTAAGATGCAAGAGCTACAGGGTGTGAAAGAGAATGAAAAAAAAAAACTTTAAAAGGAACTGGAAACACAATCCTAAACAGGAAACAAGGACTAAACCTCTACTCCTGTTCAAAAACCATGGAGGTGTGTAAACTGGACAATAGTCACACCTATCTAGTCCTATTAAACCTATTATTAAAAGCCTGGAATGTTTCTTCCTTTACAAAATCTAATTTTACTGGTGTAGTAATCAGATTTTTACTATCACTATGGTTGCCTTGACAAAGATCTCCAACACCTAATTTTGCTTCCATGTATAGCTACTTACAGAATATTCAAAACCAGGTAGGATATGCTTGAACCTTGCATTCTTCTCACAGATTCTTTTGCATTCTACAATCTGAGGTCAAGTGGTATGGGTAGGATGTCATCACCTGCCTTTCTTAGCAAATTAATTTTCTTTGTATTTATCTGTTTGCTGTTATACAGTTTGTGTATTTGTGTGTACATAAATATTTGTATCTATATTATATGTATTTATACAAGTATATCTATATAAAGTAAATATATGTGTATATGCTCATTAAAATATTATTTTTAATAGTTTTAAAATGCTGATTTGAGTAAAAAATGAATAATGCACTTTTTATCATTTATTTTTCCAAGAAATATTTTTATCAAAAACTTTTAGAAAAATATATAAGGTGCAGGCTGCTTTGAATGTGAGTAGACTTGGTAAGGCCTAGACTGGTGGGATTGGTGGGTCGGTTGACTGAGGTTACGGTGGTGACAATGAGATAGGTCTAGAGTGTGACAGTGAAGCCACAGATCTGTTTGCCTTTACAGTGGATTAACTGAGGTCACAGTGGTGACAATGAGAGAGGCCTGGAGTGTGATAGTGAAGCCATGGATCTGGTTGCTTTTACAGTGGATTGACTGAGGTTACAGTGGCGACAATGAGAGAGGCCTGGGGTGGATTGGTGAAGCTGTGAATCTAACTTTGCCAATACAGAGGGTGTGAGTGGAATATATCTGTGGGCATGGTGCAGCTGTTTAGAGGAAGGTGGGTTTAAAGTGAACATGCATGTTGGGTCAGTTGACTGAAATCACGGTGATGTTGTTACCACTAGTGTCAACAGCTGGATTGTTGGCCACATTCACATTTATGAGGGGCTTTCTTTTAAACAAATCTGGTTTGTTCCCTTGACTCATCATTTTTTCTTTTGCAGCAGCATTTGTGATTTGGCTTTTTTTATATTGTATTTTAGATTTGTGCAGGTTGGATTATAGCATGTGATTAAAAAATATTTTGTTTTTTGACTAAAATGTTTTGGAATTATTTCTCAATTCCCAAACTTACCACAGTATGTATTTTTTTTACTTACATTTTTATACTTTTTGAATAATACAACAACTATAGCAACTTTTTATAGAAATAAAAAATTATATCTAAATAACTATGATGTAAATTTAGTGCATGTTTTGTATTTTGAAACATTTTGTATATGCATGTTTACTAACTGCCTGCTGCATGATTTGTTTTCTCCTTAAATACCCAGACTGAAAATTCTGAAGAGAAAGAAACTGCAGGTACTATAGAAGATGCTGAAGGCACAAAAGATGCTGAAGGCACTAAAACTGCTGAAGAGGTTGCAAATGCTGAAAGCACCAGAGATACTGAAGAGGCTAAAAATGTGGAAGACACTGGAGATGCAGCAGATAATACAAAAGCACAAGAAATACCCAATGAAGAGGTTATAGATATTGACCTCAATGACCCAGAGGTGGCATGTGCTGCTAGCAAGATCCAGGCAAGTTTTAGAGGTCATAAAACCAGGAAAGATCTGCTTAGTAAGGTAACAATACTACACTTATTCTTATCCAGTTCATTCTTATTATTTTTTCTCTCCTGTTCCCACTTTTCCTTTGTCTACTCTCATTTTTTGCCTTTTGCAAATTTTCTTTAACATCATCTGTTGAAACATACTTTTTGAAAAAAAAAAAAAATGTATCATTATCAAAATCACTCCAAAAAATTTCTTTTCTCCCAAATAATTTTTTAGCCATTGGATAATCAAATCTAAACATTTACTTCTGCAAACATTTTATTAAAGACAAGACAGTTTGAGGTTGTCAAGAATAATCACAAATACTCTTTCAAGACATTTTAATTGCCATGAAATGTTTCAGAATAAACAAAGAAACTTAACAAAGAATTCAGTGTGAATTCAGTAAATTTGAATCTTATAATGTCAGTGAATGACTAAAAATAACAATGGGAATCAGCAGTTTTATTAATTACATCATTATATTACAGAACATGTTAAACAACAAAGATGAATGTAGATATATTAGTGATTTTTTTCTCAGAACTTTAAACATTTGTTTCAGCATTAAATGACACATAAGGAGTTGATATGCTGTTAGACAAAGAAATCAAATTAAATCATTAAACTCTCATCAATATTAGTGGGTTTAATCTTGTAACAGATAAATATGAATTCATCAAATTGAGTCAGACCAAAACAAAAAATTGGGATAAAACTTTACAGATTCAAATGCAACAGATTGACCCACTCAGATAAAATTTACATTTTTACTGAAAAGCATAAATAAAATAAAAATATAATAAATATATATATTTTTAATTATGTATAGAATAACCTGTTTTACTTCCTTGGGTTTAATATTTAGCAGAATTTTATTATAAACCATGTTACACCTGAAAACAAAGCCCAACAAAATATTAGTGTTTCAAAAACAAATAAGTATTAAGGCTATTAAGATAACATGTCAACAGTTATGTTATAATGACTCAGCAGGAGGGAGACTGTCATACTTACATGATATTTCCAATTTATTTATGTCCTTGACCTAAACATTTTATTCTTACATACTTTGAATATATTTCAGATATTCTTTTCTTGGTTCACTTGTTCCTTGCTAATAAAATCTCCTTTTGGAGGGTTCGGTACATTTTTGACACTTGTCCAAACACAAAATGAACAACTCAAACCTTGCTTATATTTAATAAACAGTCTATCTTTATAAAGAGTTTGTATACTTTAATCAAAGATTACCAGTTAAAAACAGGATAGCATAGTATTTTGATTGAAAATATCATTTCAGTTTCAAAACAAAGAAACATACTCTCTGTTTTATTTGTGTAGCGTTATTGACTCACGGGAAGTAGTATACACTCAACTGCCTCATGGGTAATAGCTGTAGCTATCTATAGTCTTTGTGACTTCATATCTAAATGAGTCACTACATCTCCCTGTACTGAAAACATTTTATCCCCTTATTTTCCCTGGTATTTCTATATTGTCTAGATATAGGAGATCTTGATCTTCTTCATTTTTCACAGGAGTGTTCCTCCAGTGATTGTCCTAGTTCATTTTCAGAGTCTATATTGCTCTCGATTTCACTGTCTAGTTCCTCTTGCCTTAATGTGACACTTTTGCCTTCATTACTTTCATGCTCACTCTACATTTCTTCATCGCTATCATGTTGCAATCTAACTTGGTCTGCATTTGCTAACATCGCATTTCCATTTTCTTCTATTATCATAGAGTTCTGTCCACTTTGCATTATGAATCTTGTTGCTTGTAGATTTGATTCACTATTCTTTTTATGCTACAGTTTTTTGTTAGTGGCATACAACATGGTCAATGGGGCTCTAATTTGTCTATCCATGAGGGTGGATGGGCTTTTTGATCTTCCAGCATGCTGTATTGTCCTATAACTTAGCAACAATCTAGAAAGAAATGTTTCTATCTTTTCTTACCATTGTACACATATTTTCAATACATTTTTTATAGTTTGCACCATCCTTTCTGCTTATTTGTTTGATTGCGGATGGTACAGTGGGATATGGTTTCATACAGTTTTGTTCAACTATTGGCATAGTTCTTTGTCACAGAACTCTGGGGCACTGTTAGATATTAGCATTTTCAGAATTCCGTTTCTTGAAAATATGATCCTTAATGCTTGTTTCATGGTCAAACTTCTTTTGTTGGAAACCTGTATAACTTCTGACCAGCCTGAATATGAATCTACTAGTATTGGTAATAATCCAGCTCTACTAACACGGATATGATCCATGTGTACTCTGTCCCAAGGTTGGAACTCTTTAGGCCACATGAATGTTTTTGTCTGAATTTTCTTCTTCCATTGCACATTTTACACCATTTTATGTATTCTTCTACATCTATAGTATAGCCTGGCCACCATGCCTCTAGCCTTAATCTCCTTTGCACAGACATTATTCTGCAATGAACATTGTCATGTATGTCTTTTATAATTTTGCTCCTTTGCATTGCTGGCAGAACCACTATATCTCTATTACAAATTACACCCTTTTCTACAGTTAACTTGTGTTTAACCTCTTTAAGACTCTATCTGTGAGCAATTATTCCACTTATTATTTTTTATCCTGAACATTATACTGTTCAATATGAGATCTTGCTTCGTATCCTCAGCTAATTTGTCTATTGACAAAATATTGGTTTTGACCCAGTATAAGAAAGTATCTTTGAATTTTTCCTCCTCTTTCTCACTTTCAGATGTAATAGACCTCAATCTTGACAAAGTGTCTACATACGGAATGGTATTGCCTTTCATTTAGTCAATATCAAAGTCAAACACCATTAACATTAAGGTCCATCTTAGAATTCAAGAAGACATTACTTTAGGAAGTTCCTTCCTAGGATTAAATATGAATTCTAAAGGTCTATGGTTGGACCTTATTGGGAATTTCTTTCCAATCAAAAACTGATGAGCTCTATTTGTCATCCATATTATGGCCAATACTTCTTTCTCAATATTTAGCAGTTCAATTCAGCTTTTGACAATTTTCTTGAAAGATACATAATAGGATGACCATCCTGAGCTAATATTCCTGAAATTGGGTGTTCACTTACAACAGTAGTTATTAATATTTTACCAGAGCAGGTTTTAGATTTGCCAGAACAGCTTTTAAATTTTCAAATGCCACTTGTTATTCTTTTGTCCAAATTCCACATTCTTTTTCTTAAAGCAACAAAAGGTTCTGTCAATTCAGAGTATCACTCTATATATCATCTGTAGAAATTTACAAGTCCTAAGGATCTGGTTTTCTTTTTTATTCTGTATAAAGGAAGTAAAAAAAGATAAAGACCTAACTTTCAAATAACAATGATACTACTTGTATATTTTGAGATTACTAATTTTATATAAGTATTCAGATATTTTGTATATTAGCCAAGTGTTTTGTTGACATGGGATAGCATAAAAATATCCAAGTAATTTTTGAATTTTAAAAAATTGGTGTAAAAATCTTTTTACTTTTTTATTTAATTATTCTATGATCGCTGTTTAACTATTTTGCAATTTCTAACAGTTTATGTTCTTATCAGTCAATTAATATCTTATTTCTCTTTTGAAATTAGATCTTTCTTATGATCCATGACAGCCTTTATATATCTGATATTTAAAATAAATATTAATAACTATACAATCTATAATTATATCACAATATATGTTTATTTTTAATCTAATAAAAAACCTTGAAGTTGCATAATAAAACATTAAAATACCAAATAAGTTATTGTAAATATTTCTAATAAAAACCAATATTACAAGCTGAAATTCACATGGTATATTTATAATGTAAATAAAAGTATATCCTGAAAATGTTATTAGCATCTGTTGCTTAATACCAATTATGAAAACATTGACTTGCATAATAAAATCTGACACAATGTATTTACTGAGTTCCTAATGTGAATTAACCATGGTTGTTCAGGATGGTGACTTCTTGATGTTATCAGACTGGGGGGGTGCAATCCCAGTGTGCAGTACCTTTGTAAAGTGCCTGAAAACCATACTACAGGTTGACCTATGCCTTGTGAATGAAACTGAGTAGACAGAATTGTTCATCAATGGTTGTGTGCTTAGTACAAAGTCGTAAGTCAGCATGACTGAGAGTTTTGAGCCTTTGTTCAAACTGTTAGTCATGCTAGATGATACACACTCTCTGACAAACTGTAACTAAAGCCCATCCAGAATAGTTGTAGTATAAACCACAGGTAGGCTCTGTGGGTGTTGAACAAATACAAATATGCCTGAATAAGTGTCTGCAACAGGAATTTGCTAGTCGACCTCATAAACAGGTTTACTTGGATGCCAGCAACCAGCCATTATAATGTGAACATAAGTTACATTAGTGATTTCTAAGGGAGTCATGTTTTTAATAGCACAGCAACAGAATTGAAGTTTATACTATCATCAAATTTGCTTTTGACATGTTCTAACATGTCCTAGTATTCAGCTTATCTTCTATAACCCTACATCTTATTACATTTTCACCATTTAACATTAAAATCAAAATGTTTTTATTTTATTGTTTCTTAAGTAGAAAGCAGATTGATTTTTCTGCACTTATATACAGAAGAAATTAGGAAGCTAAAATATAGTCATATAAAAATGTTAAAATTTAATTTAAGTTTTTAGTTAACAAGTATGTGTGTGCGTGTATGTTTTAGAGAGAGAGAGAGAGAGATTGAATATGTAATTAAAATTAATGGTTGTTATTGGATTATTAAAAGTAATGAAAATAGATTCAACCCAGAATTTTTTAAACAATTAGTTATTAAAGATGTAGATGTTCTTGAACTTTTGATGTAAAAAAAAGGTCAAATTTTCTGTTAATATTCACTAGATAATATGACTTGAATCAGCTGAAGGAGCCATCTTCTTGTGTCTTTTGGTATGAACAGACTGAGAGTGTCTGTGCTACGTAAAGAAAATAATGTGGAATGTGTGTTTGGTCTTTCAGAGTGAATGCTACATCGGCATCAGTGAGGAAGGAAAGAAA